CCAGATGACCACAAAGTGCCCAAAAGGTGAAACCCAGGGGCAGGAAGCATGGAGGGGGAAAGAAAGAAGAAAATCACAGAGGCTAGAAATTACCAAGCCAGAGAGTGGATCTGGAACTACTGAGAGTGGCTCTGAATTGGAACAGTTGGTCTCAAAACTTCTTGGAGCAGCCAGACTGATTCCTCGAAAACATAAATCTGATCCTGTCACTCTCCTTTGTAAAGCCCCTTCATGGCTTCCCCTTGGCTTTAGAATAAGGAACAAAGTTCTTAAAGTGGTCCTAAAAGAGGGTTTCTCAACCTCAGCACTACTGACATGTTGGGCCAGCCAGTTCTTCATTGCCAGGGGCTGTCCTGTGCATTGCAGGGTGTTTAGCAGCATCTGGAGAATCCTCCTGACTCCCCCCCGCCCCATACACATTTGTGACAACCTTGCCAAATGTCCCTGTAAGACAAAATTGCCCTCAGTTGAGAACCCTTGTCCTAGGAGCTCCCACAAGGTTTGGCACCATCCATCTCCCCTCCTCTTACCAGGACAGAGCACTGGTCCCTCTTGCCTCAGGTTTTCTGCATACAGTCCCCTCCCTGGACGCCCCCCACCCCCTCTTTTCACTTGTGCCTCAGCCCAGGCGCCCTTCCCTGCCCGCTCCAGAGCTCGCTGCTGTGCTGCAGCCCTGTCCTCCACCACATGCCCCTCCACACCTGCCATGCCTTGGCTGCCTTCCTGTCGCCTCCAGGAGGGCAGGGACTGTGACCTTCTTGTCCTCCCACAGTGCTAGTAAGTGGCAGCTACTTGGTCCTCATTATCTCATGATTGGCAGATACTGTCACCTACACTATGTTGGTCCCACATCAGATGCCCAAAGCTGGAATCAGACCGTGAAGCCAGGTTAGGACACCAAGGAAGTTCCGGGATTAATTGTCTGCTCTGTGTTGAGTCTGGACTATGTTGGCTCCATTAACGGTTAAACAGTAACTTGGGGTGTGATCTGAAAAAGAGCCTTTTCCTGAGGGCAGTGAGCTACACAGCAGGAATCCTCTGCCCCAGGGCTCCTGTTAAATTATGGCCTCCCTGGGGAAGGGCCAGCGCCTGAGGACCTGGCACCAGCCAGGGAAGAGAGTCACACAGTGCTCACCCTGTAGACGAGGACAGACAGTGGGGAGAAGGCTGTCACCTGTCGGCTCAGGCACAACAGAACATTCATAAGCCAGGGCTCCCCAACAAGAGACATCTAGACCCTGGGTAGGTTTTCTCGTGTCCACCCCAATCTGGCAAGGCAAAGATCTAACACACCACAGAAACTCAGCCAACAATCAATGCATAACCTGATTAAAAAGTTGTAACCAAGACTCTGAGATGGCATCCTCTGAACACACTGAAAGGACAAAGCCCAGCCTCGGGCTGTAGCAGCCAGAATTTCCCAGGACAGGAAGCTCAACCTCACTCCTCCTGGTGTTGGTGTTCACTGGTCTCTGCTCGTTCCTCAGTCTCCCAGGGCGGGCCCTACCCCCTCTCCAAGTTGCCATTCTCTGAGTTGGGCTTTCTAACGTGGCTCAACATGTTGACAAATATATTCCATATATCATTACTCACTTAATATGTTTCTTTAAATATATATACCTTTGCCCATAATAAAAACAGTACTTTTCTGATTATGTAACTAATGTATGCTCACTGTAAAAAAATGCAAAAACACAAAAAACTACAAGAAAGACAAAAATCACCTGTAATCCTACCAACCTGAGATAACCACCACCAATATTTTGATGACCCTCCTCTCCCTGCACATATAAACATGATTTTACATACATAATGCATACTTTTTGTTCAAATAAATGTATTCAAAAGGAAATGCTCTATTAGCATCATTAATAGCAAGCTGCCATCATTTACCAGAATAGGAGGTAACCCCCGCAAAAAAGCACAATGAAAACAAAACAATGTGATTAAATATCTAATCAGAGACCTCCCCAAGGCTCCAAAGCCTGAGGCTCAGTTTCTAAGGGATTAAAAGGGGGATTGGCAAGTGTTGGGGGGCTTTATAGTTTACACTTTCTCTTAGACACAATTAGAAGGATTAAAACAGAATTAAAAGAAGAAAAATATTCTCTACTTCTATTGTTATCTGAGTCCATGTCTGTGCAGCAGCTTAAACTTTCTGGGGTGACCTAAGCACCTCCCACATTCTATGGGGAAGGCAGGGGCAGACTCCACAAGTACCAGACCTAGCAGGGTCCACTCCTGACAGCATGCAGGGGAGACGCCCTGCACACACTAGCCTCCTGCCCCCAGAAGCCTCAGAAGACTACAAAGCCTTTCATGGCACCTCTGGGGCACAAGGTCCCTGTCCCCAGCCCCAGAGGCCTCACCCTGGCCATCCAGGCCCAAGAACCCCTCTTAACACAGCCAGAGCTGTCAGGAGACTCCAGGCTCCAGGCCTCCTTTTCCTCCTTCACAAAGGCTCTTCTGTACCAGGAACCAACATTCCCAGGCAGGAGACCCAAAGTCTCCTTCATGTGTTGGGGACTGCTAGTGGCAAGAGGGGCCTCCCCACCACAGCTGGGTTCCTGGAAGGCCAGAGCAGCAGCAGGGCCCGGCCAGCAGGGCGAGGGGAGCAAGGTGCCCAGGGAGCAAAATGTGACAAGGAGCTTACTCTCAGCTGCCAGCCGTGAACTTGCGTGGCCCTGAGAGCCGGGACTGTGCTTGTCTCCCTCCCCTCGTCCTGGCCCTGGGCAGCACAGCCAAGCCACGAACCACTCAATACATGATGCTGGGACAACTGGGGACCCATGTGGAGAGAGGTAAAACTGGATTCTTACCTTATGCCAGACAGAAAAATAATTCAATGTGGAGATCAAAGACTTATGGGTAAAAGGAAAATATTAAAACTTTTAGAAAATATAGAATAGCTTTATGATTTGAATGTAAAGAAGGATATCCTAAAAAGATACCAAAGAACAAGCCATAAATTAAAATGTTGATAAACTAAAAATAGAACTACTATTCTATCTGGCAATCCCACTACTGGGTATCTGTGCAAAGGAAAAGAAATCATTATATTGAAAGATATCTGTTAAAAGAAGAAAGATACCTGCACTCCTATGTTTATTGCAACATAATTCACAATAGCGAAAATATGGAGTCAATGTATGTGTCCATCAGCAGATGATGGGATAAAGAAAATGTGGTGTATATACACAGTGGAATACTATTCAGCATAAAAGGAATGAATTAATGTCTTTTGCAGCATCATTGATGGAACTGGAGGCCATTATCTAAAGTGAAATAGAGAAAGACAAAAACTGCATGTTCTCACTTATAAGTGGGAGCTAGATAATGTGTGGGCTCTATGTGGATGGACGTGGAGTCTAGAATGGTAGACAATGGAGATTCAGAAGGGTAGGGGGTTGGAGGGAGATGTATGATGAGAAATTACTTAATGGGTACAATGTACATTATTTAGGTGATAGATACACTTAAAGCCCTGACTTTACCACTATGCAATCTATCCATGTAACTAAATTACACTTGTACCCCTTAAATTTATACAAATAAAAACTTTTTAAATAACAATAAAATTTAAAAAATGAAAAAACTTTGATAAACTATGTTATAGTTACCTATGATTATGTTTCTAAAGTCACTAAAATAACCCAAGTTAAAAGTGAAAGTAAAAACTAGGAAAATACATTTGCATTGCATATAACTTACACAAGGTACATATCCAGAATCTGTAGGGAAAAAATATTTTAAAAAATAAGAATAAATAATAATAATAAAGAATAAATAATAAAGAAAAATAGACAAAAGATTGAACAGGAAACTCACAGAAGAGGAAACGTAAACATCCAATAAATATGCAAAAAGATGTTCAGCTGCACTACTAACCAGGGAAAATGCAAGTTAAAATTGGTACAGTGAAATGCCAATTCATACCCATCTGATTGACAAAAATGTAGAGGTCTGACAATGCCAAGCGACAGGGGTATTATGAGAAAATAAGGATTCTCTTAGCTTGCTGGTGCATTGGACAGCTCGTTAGGAAGGTGGCCTGGTGCTGTTCAGTGAGAGCCAAGATACGTGTGCATGTGTGTGCATGTACATGCGTGTATATGTATTGTGTGGTACATGTGTATGCATGTGTCGTGCATGTGTGTATGCATGTGTGTGGCTACTTAACTGGATTCTTTTCTATCCTCAATTCTTCTGAAACACAGTTTCCCATTGCATCTTTCTAAAGCTCAGCTCTGAACATATCCCTTCCCCTCTTTAGACACTTTCAGTGGTTCCCAGTTGCCTACCAAGAAGCAGCAAACTCTTTTACTGGACAGGTGGATGAGATAACCTCAATCCACCTTTCTGGGTATATCCTCTCTGTCCTATTTTATTAAATTAACAGTATAGGCTGAAATATCTCTTTTAAATCCTTACTTGCTTGAAATGTTAAATAAAAAGAAGAGGGGCTGGGGGTAATCTCATCTAATACTTTATGTTACAGAAGAGAATTCTGAGGCTCAGGGAGGCTGGATGCTCTACCCAAGCAAGACAAAGAACCAGAGACCTTGGCTTTCCTAATCACTACACATCTTCCTGGGCTGAAGCATCACAGGCCGAGCTATGAGGGACCAAGGAGCCCAATCCACTTGGCTCCCTTCACATCACCCTAATTGACACACAGCCTGGGAGTAACAGCCACTGTTTGTCACGATGCAAAAATATCCCAGGATGCTGGAGCAGGAAGGTACTCTCTGTACCCACCTCCCACCGGTCCTGAAGTGCCATATCCCCCAAATCAGGATGCCCTTGTGATAGCCTTGTCAACAGGGAGCAGCCAGATCTCTCTTCTACTATAATTGGGTTAGTCTTGTGGGTTTGCTTCCCTCCCAGTTGTCAAAAGACATTACACAGAAATGAACTGCTGCATCGACCACAGTTCAGGTGCAGGCTGAAGCCGGAGGAGGAAGGAATTTTCAAATGCATTCAATCATCACCCTACGTACCTGCTTGCTGCCAGCTGCACGGCTTTCTTCCTGCTGCAATCACTTTTCCTCCAACCTGAGCCCAGAGGTCTCTAAGCTGCAGCATCCTCAGCAAAGCCTGGGTGCAAACACAGGGAAGATTCCAGAAGTCTGTGAAGGTCTGTACTCACCTTGCCTGTGTCCCCATGCCTGAAGAAGATGCAACATTAAATAGCAAACTTAATAACACCATGATGGGTCAAGAGGGAGACCACAGAAGAAAGAAAAAAGCTTTTCTCCTGCTTTTTGAATAAAGGGCCTTGCATTTTCATCTGCACTGGAACTCACAAGTGATAACGCTTGCCCTGACCCCAGCCTGGCAGGTGCTAAAGGCTAATGGGTGAGAAGGGGATTGTGCGCTTCCTCAGAACCTCACGGGTGCCTATAAAAGCAGACTTGCTCTGGCAGAGGCCAGCATCTGTCCAGGGTGGGGCCCAGGAAGCCCAGACCATTAGGCTTCCTGCATCAGTGCCGGAGGGCGTCTGTGGACGCAGGGCTGTGAAGATCCCTTACAGGCCACTCCAGTGGTTGTCAAATTTAGCAAGCAAAAAAAAAAAAAAAAAAAAAAAAAAAAATCACCTAGAGAGCATGTTGGAAATGCAAATTCTCAGATCCCTGTTCCAGAGATTCTGACTCAGGAGGTCTGTGGGGCTGCCTGAGAAGTAGCACTCCTAACGTGCTTCAGGTGGTGCCAAAGCTGGTGTGTGTGGTCCACACTGTGAGGGACACTGATGAGCCCTTCATTGCACAGGGGAGGCCATACAGACAGGGGCTTGAGGTGCCTCGCCCGGTGGCACTCACTGTTCCTGGAAAGGCACCACAGAGCCCTGATCTGCACCCTCCAGCAGCGCCTCCCACTGAGCCAGCCTGCCTCTCAGGGAGCTGCAGGAAGGACGGCGCGAGTTAGGATCACACTCTGAAAGTTTCCATAAAAGCTTGCTGGGAAAATGAGTATCCTAGCAACTGAATGAGCTCCTCTCCCTTCTCCCTCTGACTCACGAGGTAAGGCAAGTAGAACAGAAAGACCACCCTTCACCTGCCTTGAGCCTCAGTTTCCTTAATAATAGCCAATATTCATTAAGCACTTACCAGGCATTTTACATACACTAATTCACTCCACAAACCTATGGGATAAGTACTCTCATTATCCTCATTTTACAGATGAGGAAACTGAGACTCAGGTAATTTGACCAAAGTCACACATGAGCCTGCAGAGTCAGGATTTGTACCATGCACTCTGACTCCACAGCCTAGCTCCTCAGCACTCTAAATAAACCGCACTGTTGGAAGCCTTTGAGGAGGCCCCAGCTGCCTTGCCGGGTGCCTTCCCATTCTGTGCCCCTGAGACCTCCCACTTTTATGGTCCAGCTCCACCCCCAGCTCCCTGCCCAGATCCCTCTCAGTGAGCTGCAGCTCTGCTCCTGGCCCTGCCCGCCGGGTCTGATCTAATTGCCTGGCAACTGAGGAGTCAGTACCCCTCAAGCACAGTGCTGGCCTGAGTGGGCAAGAGGGGCTTCTGGCCTTGGCTCTGCTCAAGGCCCTTGCTCACCCCTTCTCTGGCCACACCCTTTCCAGTGGGGTGGAGAATCTCCAGGGGTCACAGAGCTGAAGCCCCTCTTCTAAAATGCTCTGGGAACCTGAGACTGGGGAGTCCCCTGCACAAATGGCCCCGAGCTGTTCCCAGGGCTTGCTTGGGATTGTCCCTGGGCCCATCCTACCAAGGGCAGCACAGCTGTCACAGGTAGCACTAACCAACTGTGTGCACCCTCTAGACCTGTGTCCAGGAGTGGAACAGGGTGGGCAGAACGGCCTTGAGAGCTGGGGTGTCCGCAGAGATGGACCAATCAGGCCCCTCCAGGTTCAGGGTGAAGAATGGGTACAAAGAGAAGATGAGTGGGCCAGTCACTGGGCCCACTTTTCCAGCAGTGCCATTACATTAGCTATCTTTTTTGGGTAACAATTACCACAAACTATGGCATGTTTGTGGTATAGCACGTTATTATCTCACGGTTTCTATGGGATGGGAATCTGGGCAGGGCTTAGCCAAGTTCTCTGTTTCAGCCTCTCACAAGGTGTTGTCCAGGGGTGCAGTCTCATCTGAAGGCTAAACTGGGGAAGGACCTGCTTCCAAGCACACATGGCTGTTAGAATTGTAGTTCTTTGAGGGTTGTTGGACTGAGGGCCTCACTTCCTTGCTGGCTGTTGGCTGGAAGCCACCACATTTGCTTGTACTGTGTGCCTCTGGAACATGGTGACTTGCTTCCCCAAAGCCAGAAAGGGAGGGAGTCAGCAAGCAGGAGAGAAGTCACTATCTTATGTAACCTAATCATGGAAGTGACATCCATTACCTTCGACATATTTTATTGGTTAGAAACAACTCATGGGTCCTGCCCACATTCAAGAAGAAGGGATTACACAAGGATATAAATATCGGGGGTGGGGGCCCGTGGGGGCCATCTCAGAGGCTGCCTGCCACAGCTGTATCCCAGCACAGAACTCCAAGGAATCAAACAGAGGTCTATATTCAGACCTGGCTTTCCCAAGTCACTATGAAGTTATATTTATTAAGGGAGGAGAACAGATAATATTTTAGTCAACAGTTTGTCAGCTTGAGTTACAGCTTTTAAATATTTAAACATGTGATATGTGAACCTCCACTGATACTCTCATGAATGTTAGTTTAGGGACAGGCCTGTTTCTGTGCACATGTCCTGGCCACCACCCCAGACAGGGAGGACCCTGTGGGCAGAGTCCTATTGCACACACACCCAACACACAGCCTCACACAGGGTTGTCGGAGCTCAGGAAACAATACCCCAAAGTATAGCACTTTGGCATGCTGAGTGCTTTCAACTAAAGGAGAACCAGTGTCTCTCTGACTTCTCCTGCCCTCTGCAGGAGAGGGGGACAAGGAGCAGTTCCCTTATCTGTCTAAAGGAACTTAATTGTCATAGTTTCCACCCTGAGAATCTCATCAACCAGAAACAATGAACCATATCACAGAACAGACTGAAGGTCAACCCCATACCAGGCAGACTCTGGATAATTTTCTTCTCACCTACAATATCCATCATATGGGAGACAACCAGTAGAGTTTGCCTGGAGGCATCCACTGGCAGCTGCTGGTGGTAGCAGCCCCCCCCCCCCTGTCACGAGGCAGCTGGGCTGATTTTGAAGCCTTGGTGGTTGGGCTTCCTCTTGAGCAAGAAGAGAGGATTCCACGTGGCACAGGAAGGAAGTGAGAAGCACAAAAGCCACCATGCCAGCAAGACAAAGGTGACTCCTTCCAATGGAGCAAAAGTTCTACCTCTAGACAAAAGCAGGATTATTAAGTTTCTATTTTCAATTTCATTTTATTATAAAAATAATGAATATGGTTATATTTTTTTAAAGGGAAATAAGAAATAAAAGAGCCATAGTTCTACCACTGAAAGTCCTTCTGTTTTGTGTATGTGTCTGTGTGTGCGCGCGGGCATGTATGTGTGCGTGTGTGTGTGTGTGTGTGTGTGTGTGTGTTTTAATTTCCTTCCTTAAAAGTGTTTTCTATGCATAGCTTTTTTTTTCTTCTTTTAATTTGTGTGGTTTGGGGGCTTTTTAAAAAAGTAGAAGAGATCATACAGTTTATTCACTTATGTACCTCCTTTTTCAGGACACTAAATGTTTTTTCTAGAATAAAGAGGTAGACTTTTAAAATAATTTTTAAAAATTGATAACAGAATTACCTGAGGAGATTTTTAAAATCCTGGTTGGGCCCAGGGGGCAGTGTGGCTCACACCTATAATCCTAGCACTTTGGGAGGCTGAGGCAGGAGGATTGCTTGAGATCAGGAGTTCCAGACCAGCCTGAACAGCATAGTGAGACCCTTGTCTCTACAAAAAATAGAAAAATTAGCCAGGTATGGTAGTGCCTGCCTATAGTCCAAGCTACTCAGGGCGCTGAAGCAAGAGGATCATTTGAGCCCAGGAGTTTGAGGTTGCAGTGAACTATGATGATACCACTGTACTCCAGCCTGAGCAACAGAGCAAGACCCTGTCTCAAAAAAAAAAAAAAAATTTAAGTCCTGATTGTCCAACCCATACCCCAAACTAATTAAATTAGAATCTCTGGAGCTATATCCCAGGCATTAGTTTTTTGGTTTTTTTCAAGTTTCTTCAGGTGCAGCCAAGGTTTTGTACCACTGTTACAAAGGGGGGAAAAAAGCTTCCTCAGAAAAAAGGTAGAAGAAAAAGGAACTACAATAATTCCATCTTTGCTTATAATAGAAAAGTAGGTCCTGGTTTTCCAGAGACTGAGGGGTTTCCCAAGATGAGAGGTTTTCAGTGCTAAAGCCAGGAAAGTCCCAGGAATATAGGAATGATATGAAAGCTTGAAGGTATTACCATGAATTAATTATTATTTAATGAATATGAAAACTATAAAAAGCAATTTTGTACTTCAATGAAAAACTACACATCATTCTTTCTTTGAGCTATTTTGCATCTCTTTGTATTATAGGTAACTGAAAGAATGCAAACTCTGTATTATGTGGTAGAGTTTACTTTGACTTCTTTCCCTTGTGGAAAAACCAGTTTGCTTCCCTGTAATTCAATCCCTTTATTCCATTTAAATTTGTGTTCCTTTGACTTTTTCCTTTGAACCAGTTATAATACCTGTCTGGTTCCTTTGCTAATTAAAGAGTAAAACAAAATCTTCAACACATGTTCATTCTTGTATCTTTTATGTGAGTTATACTTTTACCATTTTCTAAAAATTATTTTTAACAAGGCTATAAATGTCACTACTAGAATAAAAATATAAACCTTCAAAATTATCATTAAAAACACAAACACAATAATAAAGCAGAGACAATAGACCAAAGCATAAATGTCATATCAACAAGTAGGTCAAAGTCATCTGTTAAAAGATCTCAGATCACAAAGTAAAACCTAATGATAAAATGGTTAAGAAAGATTGAAAACAAAAGGATGAGAAAATGTGTTTTTACCAGGCAAGTGTAAAAGTTTAGCAGAGATTATCACTGTTATCTCACTATATTGCAGAAAAGAAAATAAAGAATGCAACCAGACCTGGCCCAAATCATTTTAAATATAATACCTGTCTCTCAAGGTTAATTTAATTTGCAAAGAGAATCATTTACAAGTCAATCTGTTTCCCCCATCCATTCATCCTCCCTAGCAACCATTTATTACCCCTAAACAAAATTACCCAATCTTTTGAGCACTAGAGATCGGTTTCATGGAAGACAATTTTTCCACAGACCAGGGTTGGGGCAGGTGGGGTGGGGGATGGTTTCAAGATGATTCAAGCACATTACATTTATTGTGCAGACCTCTCAGATCATCAGGCATTAGATTTGCATAAGGAATGTGCCACATACATCCCACCCTATGAGCAGTTTACAGTAAGGTTTGTGCTCCTATG